GATGGAAATGGTGAAAGGAGCCCTTTTTCCAGGGGTGGACACACACACACGGTTTCAATTTACCGATTTCCCCAAAACTGGCAGGACACCCAGACGAACACGCACACGATGTCAAAAATGCAATCTCCCTCAGACTGAATAAGCGACATCGCCAAGGCCTAGCTCGGAAGCCACGCGGACAATCATACACACGATGTCAACAATTATCAATTCTTAAAAGGCTCAAAAGCACAGCATTCTAGAGCAAAAAATTGCACCCCCCAAGCTAAAGCTTAGCTATGCTCTCTAGCAAATTCAAGTGTGAGTTCCACGCGAACCGACACAACGCCTCAGCACCTTCGGTGCGGGCGGGTTTCTTTGGGTTGGTGAAGGCGGTGAAGGATGATTTTCTTACTTGGTTTTTCTCTCAGCTGTTTGTTTTGCATGAAATGGGTTAAATAGGGTTAAATAGGTTTGTCTCAAGCCCAAGTATATCTGACCAGGAAAGATATGGATGCCCATTAGCCTGGTTTTCTTCTCGCTTTTCACGTGCCTGTCAGGCTTTTCGCCAGAGTTACCCCGCCAAGCCAGCGGAAGAGGAGAAAAGCAGCCTGTTGGTAGTCGCTGGTCCCATTCCAACTGGCACGGCTTGGGCTTGGACCGACACAATAAGACACGCCTATGTCAGCCAGCTTCTGATTCCAGACGCTCAGCTTCAAAAGAACACCGTTTTTTTACATGCCACATTTTACAATGGAACATTCAACTGAATGTCCGACTGTCTTCTTCTTGTCCGACTGTCTTGGCAATGTGACTCACAGCGAAATGGCCGCTCGGTCTCCAGGAGCGCCTCCTAAGCGAGGCCTTCCACGACATGTACAGCAGCTGCAGCTGCAGTCCGAGAGGTTTTTCTTTCAGGGAGATGTCCAAAAAACCCTGAAGTGGATGTGTGAAGGAGAGTGAACACCTAACTGAGCTTCATGAGTATAAAGATGTATAAAGTATGGTTGTTCTCAATGCTCACCGGAAGTAGGGGGTTTGACCCACAGTCCAATGTCAACATCATGGATTGCCTGATTCTTTCCTCCTGGGCTAAGGCTAGATCTGATCAGAGCAAGCCCGGGTTTCAAAGCACCGTAGGCATCCTGGCGAACCCCACGGCGGTTTAGACTTGGTGCTCAGTGGTTCGTGGAATGGGGTTACATTCAGCTTTGTGTTGCCTCTCCTTTTCGGAGGATGAGGATGCTTGTTCCAAATGCTTCAAATTCCTTGTGAAAAGAAGACAGATGTATGTGGTACTCGTATGTTATTGGCATATGGACCTGTCGTTTTGACCGTCTAGTTTGTTGAGACTTTCAGAAGCAGAACGATATCATTGTGGGTGTCTCAAGTCGAGAGATCGAGAGTCGGTATGAGTCGGTCTTAATGAAGGAAAAACATACCGTGTCCGTGCCCAAGTTCTCATGTGCTGATCCCACTCAGTCTCTCTCTCTCTCTCTCTCTTCTTCTATGTTTTTTCTTTTTTTTTTTCAAGCCGAGACAATCATCGAGGATTGAGATCCTCAACTGTGGGGAAGGGTGCGCAAGTAGGAACAGTTTCACATTCGCGCAAGCAGAACCAGTTGAGCCATGGTGACTACTTAACTCATTAGATGGCTGTGGGGAGACTGGCACCAGGATACCAACCGTTTTCACCTACCGACGATACAGTTGGTCGCCTCAATGAAGACAGGTGTGTCACTTTCATCCCGGTTCGATCCTCCAAAAACCGGTCGACCCTCCGAACGACCGGTTCGGGATCGACCGGTTCGGGATCGATCGACCGGTCCAGCGAGTCGAGTCGAGTCGACTCGTGGCTCATCGAACTCGTGTTCTTTCGTTTTCAACTCGAACCCCGGTGGCAGTTCCAAGGAATGGCAGATGCTGCCTTATTGACACAGTGCGCCAGATATACGCAGGCACGTGGCAAGGGAGTGGCATGTGGTGGGCGTCCCCAAGAACTCGCGGACCTCTCCAAAACCCTAAACCCATACTGATCCATACTGTATGTATTTCAATGTATTTTGTGAGTTCTTTCAGGATTTTGACTTTGATCCGAGGGCACCTGTTCTTTCAGCAGAAAGAGATCATGATTCATGATCCTCACTGGCCTTCACTTGCCCTTTGTGCTCTTGTGCTCCTGTTCTCACATGTCTCATGCTTTGTTGAGACGACTCTTACCCACGATCCCCTGGACTTGTCCACTGCCTCCCAGCACTACGCGACGTGTACCTCGGTCACGGTGCTCATCGTGGGGGACTTGCTGGTGGGGGGCACCCGATGCTGGTGGAATCGGGTGGGCTCACTGCTAAGGGGGGTTTGAACAATGGTAAGGGGGTTGGCAACAGCTTGTGTGTCTGGGAAGGAGCCCCGCAAGCGGGCTGAGGAAAAAGGGGGTTTGCCCATTGCCGGGTGGCCTTGTAGATTTTGGGGTCCAAGGGAAACCTTTGGCGGAGAGCAGTGGTGATGGAGTGCTAGTAACCTAGAGTAATATGCAGTTGGAACTTGACACCAGCACCAGTCTACTTGTACAAGTTGCAAGCCTTGTTGAGGTTTTGTCTTGTCAAAAACCAACTGAAGTGTTCCTTATATCTTTTTGGTGCTTTCCGTTTTCACGGCCCCCTGCCGTTTCTGGCCTGGCCTTTCCGGTCACAAAAAGCCTTTTCTGGACCCGACGTGTCCGAGGTCGTCGGGCATCTGGGCGATAGCCGGGTGATCCTGGTCAAGGCACGGGGTTTCCCCCCCGCCGTCGCGCCGACTCGGTCGGCCGAACGCCCCCGGAGCGTCCAGAGGGAACGCTGAGAGAACGAACGGAACGCAGCTTTGGCGAGCTGCCGAGCTTTGGCAGGTTTGGAACACGATCTTCCAGATGACTTTCGACCAATCTTAGTCTTTCAGCGAGCCCCCTTTTAGTTTTCACTATTGGCAATCCTACGATTCCACCGAGGAGGAGGAGGCTGGCTCTGGAATCCTGGTCGGTGTGGCTCTCAGAGATGGAGTGGCGAAGGGATGGAGTTCATTTGGTCCCAGCAACATCAACATGGCTGGGGATTCTTGTTTGTGGCTTTTTGGCAAGCCAATCCATGTTAAAGCCAGGAGACTCGGTGAAACCGTGCAACCCATTTTTTGGAAATTCCTGGAGATGATTCCTCGCCCCAAATGGGGTGTGACAAGGCTGGAGTACTCTATTCGTTGTTTTTCTGGTGCACCTTGCAGGCACCTGAGTTTGGAGGAATTCTAAACTAATCTGAGCAGAGAGAGAGAGAGAGAGAGAGAGCCAGCCGCATTTCTGGATCACAGAGGGCCGTGTGGTTCATTCTTGGACTGTTTGGTGTACACCCAAGATTCACCTGGAACCTGGCATGGACCAAACTGGAAGACGGGCTTCCTCCACAAACCAGTGGTTTTCAGCTTCGTCACCCGAGCTTCGACTCCGGGGCGTTGCGACCTTGGGCGACCCGGACGGTGTGTGGTCCAACGGTCCCTTCGGTCCCACAAGCGACTGGACCAGACGTGAAGTGGACCCGTGGTTTCCGAAACGGGGCCCGGGGGACCTCCATGGGGCGGAGAACGGGAATGAGCCACACATATGAATTTGCTGAGTATGACCAGCAACAGATACCCTACAAGGCAAGCAATATGTCATTTTGCTTGCTTTTGCTACCGTGTTGCGTTGAGACTCGGTGCACCAGCCAGCCACTTGGCCACTCCGCCCCCGTTCTCCCAGGTGAACAGCTAACCCTGGACCACAAGTGCGGTACCCGGCGACCGGTGGAGAAGCCTTCATCGACACCGTGAAGCTGGGGGGGGATGGAGCCACACCCGACAGAGACCGTTTCAGCGTTACTACTAGTAACAAGTGCCTCGCTAGTAGTAACAAGTGCCTTACTACTAGTAACAAGAAGCTACTAGGAACAAGTGCATCGCTTCTAGTAACAAGATGTAACAAGTGCCTTACTAGTAGTAACAAGAAGCTATTAGTTTCAGCGTTTCAGCGGCGCAGCAGAACACCACACGGCCTCGGCACGGACCTTTGACCGTTTCCACCGGACAATCCCGCGACGGTCGGGGGCTTGTAAAAGAAGAGGCGGTTTGACTTGGACGTCATGTTCTGTTTTGTCTACCGTCCGAAGCTTCTCTATATAAAGGATGACAACAAAAACGCTTGGACCTGGGAATGATGGAACTGCTGTGGAACGTGATGGAGCAGTACCACCAGTCATTTGTTCGGGTGGAGTCCGACTGAGGCCAGACCTTGACTGTGAGCGGCAGCGCATTGAGCAGCTTGAATTGGGTGAAGAAGTGGTGAAAGCCACTCCATGGGTCCCAAGGCTGTGGGTATGCCACATCCATGTTGGTTTGCAGGTGATCTTCTTAAGCTTTGTAGCGGGGTGGGGGGTTATCTTTTTGGGGGGGCAGCTGGCCATGCCGCTTCGCTGCTTCCAGGTGTTGTTCTGGAAAGACGATCCAGACAGTTGCTGCTCAGACGATCTGTTCTCACCACTGGTAGCACCGAGACATACCCAGACTCAACCAGACTCATATCCGACCGAGTCCAAAGGGGGGGGAACCTCCGGCCCATGAACTGTGGCCAGTGGAGAGGTCCAAATGTCCGAACATGTCCCCAGAAGTCCCAGGAGTGGCCAGCTGAGACGTACAACCAAATGGGAGATCTATTACTAGGGATTCTTGGGTGGGCCACCCGGCGATCCAGTCTCCAGCGTTCCTTTTTTTTTGGGGGGTTTTGTGGGCCACTGGGCGATCTCCGGGAAAAGACCCACACAGAACTAGGGATCTCTTCAGCCAGGGTCCCAGCGGCTTTGACCGACTGTCAACTTGACAGAGCGCAGTTGACGTTGACGAGTTCTTTCTGAACCAGCTGCTGTCCTTTTTTTTGCCATGAGCCCCAAACCCAAGGCAATGCGGCGGTATGGTGGAGCGCTTGCAGGGCTGCCCAGAGCTTCGGGGTTGTTCTGGTAAGAGATGCGACGAAGCTGAGATATATAGATTGACCAGTTTTTCCTTTAGTTGTTTTAGGCTTGTCTTACTGGGTTTGTCCCAGCCGTATGTGGAGGTCAGGTGTCGAAGGACAAAGAATCAATGATCAATGGGATTAACTTCGGATGGGGAAGGGTAAACGTCATTGAGAGGTGGTGAGAGAGCAGAGACATGATAGGGTGTGCTGTGATGTGACGGTCGTGCTCGGGTTCACATGGCGCGCTGGAAAAGTACATCTGATGAAACTCAGCTGATGGGGATGGACATGGGAACTCAGCTGCCCGTGATGGGAGGGTGACCCTCTCAAGATACTACTAGGTGTTGTTTTCGGGTGATGTTGATTTTACCTATGGTGAATGAACCCTTTTTGGTGAATCTGTTTCTACATTTCCCGGTTCTTTAAGCACGTTAAAGAACTCACACGTTCCGTCACGTTCCCTGTAACCATCCTCATGGGTCGACAGAAGCGCCGCCTGACATCGCATCCCGGATGTCCGGTCTGACGCAGAACCTTGTGCTCCTGCAGCAAGTTTGAAACCCATGAAGCAGCGTCCTCGACTCTCAACATGAGTGAAGTTCCTTTTGCATTCTGAAGAACTCATGGTGGCATCATCTACATCTGGAAGTGCGACTCTACGTCCGCACATGTACTCCCAGAGGAAAACATCGTCGCTGTGTTGCTTGGAGTTTCGCCTGGGATGATCAATGTTAGCTGCAGGTGAAGCGGCTACTTTTGATTTGGCATCCGCTCTAGTTGAATTCTTCCATCACCATCAATTATTGATGTTGTGAAGATACAAAAAACGAGATACCCTCAGACAGCATGATCATCGAGGATTTAGAACTACTTAGATTTCTTCACCAGCACTGACATCGCTTGCATCACGTTCATCGTGGTGGCTGTGAAACTAGTAGCGTCCTTGTTCCT